TTTCGACTATTTTGGCGCCCGCGCCCGTGGAGGTTTCGGGTCAAGCGGATGCGATATTCGTGTTCAGCGGGTCGAACTACCCCTGGAGCCAAGTTTTCAGCAAATTCTGCCCACGGAGAAAAAAGTCGGTCAGGAACTGGCCTGATTTCGGATGGCTGGGGCAGTAAAGGGTAAATAGTGCCTTTTTTCACCTTTGTTGATCGCGGACGCTGCCTTTAATATTCCCTCTTGCTGAAAGTGTTGCTTTTCGAATTAGGGAAGAACAGTTTCATCATCGCAGATATTGTTGACGTACAATATCTCGTGAGGACGATTTCATCACGTCCTCACGCGGGAGCGATGAATAACATCGTGTTTACGATGTTCCAGTAAGGGACTTCAGTCCAGGCCTTGTTTGGCCCAAGAGTTGCGGCATCCGGGAGTTAACTTCCCGAGTTTTGGACGTCTAGCATTCGGACATATTCTCCACCTAGCATCATCGACAGGATTTCGGAGACAGGTATGGCCTTACAGCCCACAGGCACTATCGACTGTATAAGATAATTCACGATTCTAGGATCTTTCCCGATCCATTCATTCGCTCAGTGTGTTTACGGTTTTCCATCACATTTCGCTTCTTGAGTATCGACAGCACATTGAAGTCGAGGTCAATCTAGTAATTTTGTGAGCACGCAAGATCCTAGGAGAACTGTTTCTCATATTCAGCGTACTACCGCCTTCGGACAGTGGTCAAATTCGAAGCTCCTATTCAACAACTTCTTGATCAACTCTGGAATTCTGTACAGTGACATTTTAGCATCTCAGCCCTATTATATTGCTTTTTGTGGCCAATTGGCTCCTCTACTGATTTTTATCAATTTCATCAGATATCCTATCATGGAGGCTGAAGAACCTATGGACGTGGACCAGCATGTGGAGCCTAGCAGAATTCGATTACTGGGGGACTCGGATATCGCAGCTATTATCGCTGCCTTAGGGAAGACCAACCATCAGCTTCCACTCAGCCGGTCCCCCCGAACCCTTCTTTCGCGCGTAAGGGCTACGCATCCCAGTACGAGTTCAACCTATCCGTGATGCAGAGCCTCATCAAAATCAACAGGAACGGGATGAGGAAGGAGGACGATGAGATAGTACAGACCGTTTTGAATGCAGTCAAAGTCAGAAACGAGACTCTAAAAATTGCCGATAAACATCCAGGAGTATTTTCATTTCTCGACAGCAAGAAACAAGCCGAAGCGGTGAAATCCTGGATCCTTTTCTCTCCGAATTTCAGAGCAAGTACAGAAGGAAGAGAAGAAGACTAAAAAGAAGAGAACGACGTCTCCTGAAGGCTCAAATCGGCCCTTTCGTGGTAGGGACTCGGCGTGGCGACCCGATTCCCGCTCCTTTAGCTACGCCTCCAGATTCAAGCCATACCAGTCCGGTGATAGACAAGGAAATAGACGCATTTTCCCGGCTCAAGCGCCTCACCAAAAGTACCGCAGAGAAAAATTCGATAGCCGCGAAGCCCCTGTTTCATATGCGGTCACGAAGGTCACTGGAGAGACGAATGTCCAAACAGGAAATGGTAAATATTACTCAGGTTCAATTCACGATCACATCTCTATGTGGAAGGCTCTCGAACCTAATTGCATTGGTTCTCGATACCATTTTGTACGGATATACAATCCCTTTTGATGAGGCTCCTGAGCCTCCATCTAGTGTTGAGAATCGTAAATCGGCATTGAATAATGCCAAGTTTGTGGATGATACTAATTCAGAATTAGTGACTAACGGTGCAGTGCAAATTGTGGCTCGAAGTCAACCAATGGACCTCATGATCCATCCACTCAGTGTAGCAGAGGGTAAGAAATTACGACTCGTTCTGGACCTTTCCTATCTGAACAGATACGTAACCAAAGAGCACGTCAAATTTGACGATTTGGAGAGAGTAAAGCACCTCCTTCCCCCAGGGGGATATATGACATCTTTCGACCTCAAGAGCGGTTATCACCATATCCGAGTTGCGCAGCGCAGCCAACGTTATCTGGGCTTTGAATGGGGTAACTCACTTCTATAAATTTACAGTTCTTCCCTTTCGGCCTTTCCTCCGCCCCACACATATTCACCAAATTGCTCCGGCCATTAATCCACTAATGGACGGTCTCATATGGGGATGTTCCAGGGAAGAATGCGAGAGAGTGTCAAAGGACATTCGAAAAGATCTAAAAAGTTTTGTATGGTTTGAAGCAGAAGGGAAGTGCAACTGGCTGCCAGCAGCAGAGACAAAATGGTTAGGCTTCGTTATAAATTTGAAATCTTATGAGATCTCGATCTCAATGGATAGAACTGAAAAAGCTCTAGCTATACTAAAGCGCATGCTTTTCGAGAGAGCTCCATCCTTACATACCAGGATGAGATGGATGGGCACGTTGGCTTCATTGAGCATAGTAATTTCAGATTTGAACAAGAGGCAATCGAGAGCTATGACAGCATCGGTGGCAGAGGCACAATCTCGTGAGTGTTCTCTCAGTTACAGGTGGACGTTGTCCAGCAAAGAAAGGAGGGAGATATCTTACTGGATAGACAGCCTTACAACGGGAATATCAGTATCGCTGTACCCGCCAGCAAAGCCACCCGAACCCAATTTTATCATAGAAGTGGATGCCTCAGCACACTCGGTGGGGAGCCGTACTCAAATAAGGCGGTGGCATCACAGCACACACTACCCTTCCGGAGACACTTAGTGACGGCCTCTAGTACGAGCAGAGAGCTTTCCGCGATACACTTCGGGTTATTAACCTTCGGTCCCACACTTTCAGGGGTCGTGCTGGTCAGGTGTGATAACCAGGCAGCATGTAGGATTTGCAAAGTTGGTAGTAACATAGAGAGCCTACAGGGACAAGCAGAAGACATCTGGGAGCTGCAGAGCCATTTAGGGGAGAGCAGAATAGGCTTGCGGATAAAGAAAGTAGACAGTTAGATTTCGACAGCTGGCGAGTAAATAAAAGAACGACCAATAAAGTACAAGAGAGGTGGCTACACTGTGAGATTGACATGTTTGCAGATGACAAGAATACGATATGTCAAAGATTCTTTTCCAGAGCTGGTGCCCACGCACATCGGGGATCGACGCTTTTCTCGCAACATTCCCTATGGTTAGTGCCTTCTCCTCCTAATTTGGTGTCCAGAACCTTGTCTTGGGCTCGACATTTTGGCTCTTTCGGCATATTAGGGTGCCCCTACTGGCCATCACAAGCTTATTTTCTCATTTTGAAGCCCGATGGGAAGAACTGGGCAAATTTCGTGAGAGACGGAGCCTTTTTCCCCGTCGGTTCCAAGATATTCACACCGTGCCCTCACTCCAATATATTCAATAGTGAGTTTTCGAGGATAAGATTCATGTTCCTTCTCATAGACTTTCCGAGAGTCTCCTTTCCCACAAAAAGCTATGACATTCTAACTGTCCGCCGGCGTTTGAGATCCACAAATGCTCTTCTCCGGTGTCGAAATAGGTCGGTGCAAGAGCGCAGGTTTCTCTAACTAAAATCTCAATCAATATAACTAGGCTCTATAGAAAACACATTCGCTTGAAGTAGTTGCCATTACAATCAAAGCATTTTTGCGAACGGATAACGAGCTTCTTAATGCCAGTACCATAAAAGTCTGAGGTTGTGGGAGCAAGGACTCATTGAATGCAGGTTCAACGAAGTGTCATCCTGGTTCCTAGTGTCTTTAACGCAAGAGGCGAAGTGCTTGAAAAAGTGAAAGTCACTAGGCACGAGGTAAAGCGAGCATGGTGGACAATCTAAAGGTATAGTGGATCATGCCTGCTGCAGATCACTAAACCGCGATGGTGGTGAGTTTCCAACTTTGGGTGATGTCGTTGACTTTCTCTTTGGTCCAGCCACTGGGCAGATCGTCTCCCATTATCGTGAAGCACCCTTTTCTTATCGCAACTCACAATCCGATGGAGTCGCGGATCATTGGCATTGCGAAAATGATGGGCCGACGATATCTCAAAACGACGAATTTTCTATAGTTAAGCTATTAATCGCTGAGCTATCATTAGTTTTTTTTACTTTTTTCTATTCTATTAGTATTACTTTGGTTGCCCTGCTCACAGTAACTACGGGCCCGTTCTAGTCTACATGTTTTTGTATAATAGCGTGTTCTTTGGAGTCAGCCGCTAATTGGAATGACACAACGGCCCCTTTTTGTTTCTGATCCGTTTTAGACCTGCGGATTGTGACCGAGTATGTGGTGCCCACCCACATGAGATCCGTTATTTTGAGTGTTCTGGCTTCGCTGTATCTGAGAAAACCTCTGAAAAGCAGTATAGCTAGCGCAACGGTAGAAAAAGCCTTTGGGTCTTCAGATGTAGCGCCAAGGTGTACTATTGCATTGTAGTCAGAGGTTGAAATCTTAGCACGGTGATTTACTGGCGCCCTGCTTCTCGATGCACTTTCCAGTAGCGACTTTTCTACTTCTCTGTCCGCTCCCTTCTGCCTTCCGAGGAAAAATGTGAGTGCAGCCGAAATTGTCGGCAGAGAACACTGCTGATTTCTATCGGAGGAGTATGCTAAGAAGAGGTTCCTGGCTTTTGGGATAGGTACATCTCTAATTCTCTCCGCTCCCCACCATTTCACAAACTTTGTACAGTGGTGTGTATATGCTTTGAATGTAGCATTAGCGCGGTGGTTGTTGAGAGATCTTCTAATAGCTTCTGCCACTCTTGGAAGCCTGCACTCCACCGCAGTTTCGTATAATTCACCAGCTTCCTTCCAGAGAGGTCCTGAAACTAGCAAGGGTTGGGTGGGTGGGAGTCAACTCTTGGGCCAAACAAGGCCTGGACTGAAGTCCCTTACAGGAACATCGTAAACACGATGTTATTCATCGCTCCCGCGTGAGGACGTGATGAAATCGTCCTCACGAGATATTGTACGTCAACAATATCTGCGATGATGAAACTGTTCTTCCCTAATTCGAAAAGCAACACTTATCCCTCCGCTATCGCCATGTGTGAATGCACGGTGGTTTCCAGTCAAAGTGTTTGTGGGAAACAGCAAAAGCAGAAGTTATGAAACAAGATTTGAGAATCTATGTCCGCGCTGACAAGTGGGCGTGGCCGTCGGGGCGGGGCTCGCAGTGATGTCTGGCGTGATCTGGTTGATGAGTTGCCCGCCCTAATAAGTGTGGTTAACTTGATGAAAAGTGAGGGTGAATTTGGTTTGAAAAGGGTGAATTTGGTTTGAAAAAGGACGAATTTGGTTTGAAAAAGGGTGAATTTAAAGTGAAAATGGTATATATGGAAGCTTTAGGACGAGAGAAAGCAACTCAACAACTTCTTTGCACCAAAGCTAGGCAGCTTTTGACAAACCAGAGTCGACAAAATGACTCAGAGAAGGGAGCTGGTCGCGAGAAACCAGGATTTCATGACCAAAAAATCTTCGCGCGAAGCATCTCATTAGCACTCTCCATAAAAGGCGGATGCATGCGATAGGCAATGCGCACCACACAACTACTTTTCCAAGGGGCAACTTCCTGTGAAGAAGCATTTTCACTTTGGAACGCCGAGAAATTTCGCTGGGAGGAGGGCAAAAGCCCCATAGAAAGTGAAAAAATTGTTAAAAAGGTAGAGAGCTGATTCTCTGATTCATTGAACTGAATACTGTAGAGCCCGAGTCATTCTCCGAGATGAGCAAACTCGTCACTCCAGTGAAAGAGTAACTAAAACGATTAAATGAGAAATGTATTGCATTGAATGAAAAGCCTTTTTTTGTGGACTTGACCGTTAAAAGTAGCTCTGATCACGCTCACATGGATTATTTCGTAAGCAGTGGCGTAGGCATCAGTTTCTCCAGCATAGTCTTCGCTAAAGCTCGTGGAATCGATGGAAGATCTGGAAAATTACAATCATCTCAGATTTGAATGTTCAAGTTCGGTGCTCTCCTCTCACATTGAGAAATGATAAAGTTTCCCTCGTAGCATTTAATTCACGTGGAGGTGTTTGAATGACCCTCCGGAGGGACAGTAAGGTACAGCGACTATGGTGGACAATCCAAAGTTTAATAGTTTAGCCCATGCAGCATTGCCATGTGGTCAATGAGAGTGACGTCTAGCGTTGTCATGGAGTAAAATTATTCCCCTCTCTATTTAAAAATGCC